GTCTCTCTCTCTCTCTCTCTCTCTCTCTCTCATACACTCTCTCTCTCTCTGTCTCTCTGTCTCTCTCTCTCTCCAGTACTCACCTATACACATGCCCTACATCAGTCCACAAAGTACACAGAATCCTTCAATCCTCCTCTGTGGTTAACCCTTTGATGCCAGTGTCTATGGTGTTAGCGTGACGTAGCTAACCGTTGCAAACAAAAATCTTGAGTTCGAATCCAAAAGGGTTAAGTCTTTTTTTTTCAAAATATCTCCATCTGTCGGCTCGAACGTTGTACCACACCCAAATAAATCAACGGGTCGAAGCATCGTCTCGCTCCTAAATGACGTAAATCGTGTTGATATGAGAGTTAACAAATGTGATCAAGCCATCTGGCCTCTGAGGACTGTCAGCTCAAGAGGTATCATGCTGGATTACGGAATCAATCGCTCTAGTTCGAATCCGCAAGAATTATTTTGAACTTGGGTTGTTTTCCGGGAATTTTTAAGGCTGTTCACCCATTTCGCTCAGTCCTATCGGAGATAGACATTATATTCCCAGGTGTCATCTAGTTGTTTCTTAAATTACCTTAAAGTTCTGAAAGGGGTGTAAAACTTATACAGTGACCATGGGTTCTGTTCCACTTGTCCCCAGGCGGCAGCCTCCGAATCGGACATGGCCCTGGCTTTGAACCGCTACCTTTGCACGTCTGTGCTGCCTCTACTGCTGAAACACTCGCACTTCTTCCGCGAGTCGGAGCACATGTCTGTGCTGCTGGAGACCATGCTACAGACCTGCTACAGGCTCTCCAAGTGCCGCACACTCACCAAAGGCCAGCAGGAGATGACCTCGGACTTCCTGGTCGCTTTCACACAGTGAGTCCATGACGTCCTTGTCTGTGTTGTGGATAGAAGTAATATGTAGTCAAAATGATCTAAGACCCACTGTCAGGGAGAGCGATAATATGGTCGTTTAGAAAGCTAACTCACAGAAGACGCGCTGTTTCGGAGTACATGTACTTTAAAATACATGTCAAGAACCATAACTTCATTTTTTCGTGCAGATTTTTCCATTCTGTTTTCTTTGCCTGAAACTTTAATCAGGCAGGCAAAAATATATGCATGATATGAAATTAATATATGCAAGTTGCAGTATTTGGTTTGTACATGATAGTTCGATGTGTACCTCAACGTAGCCTTTGGTCTGTTACTAATTGCTGGTCGGACACATGCGTCCGCTCCGTTCTTAAAGAGCTAAACGTCTTGCACAGTGTCGTTATACCATTTATGAAGCAGGCAAGGGGAGGAAGGACAAGTTGTTAGTAAAAGTGTTTGTCTTAAACAGATGGCCGTTAGGGAAGGTTTTTAAAAAGAAGAGTATTATAATGAAGCTGTCCAAGATGTTCACCTGCCTAAGACAACCTCTTCTCTACTGGACAATGGATGGCCGTTTTGGACAATTTTATCTGTAATGTTTACTATCTTTTTAGTTTAGTTTAGTAGAGGGTTTTACGGCGCTCGCAACTGCATAAGGTCATATGAGCGCCATTACTATCTTTGACAAATGATCTCTCTTTAACCCTACGGACTCTGGCATACCCAACTGCATACTGTCTATGACTTACATTGTTTCTCAAGGGATCAATCCACCAGTGGCGTTTGCCTCGTTCATCAACTTTGTGTGACGGTTATTTTTGTGTTTGTCTGACAAGATATCACACTTACCACCTTTTTTAATGGGAGTGCGGACATTTAAAACTTTGATCATTCTGGGTTCTACCTCGTGAGTTGCGAGCAGTGAAATTAGTTTCGTGTAACTTTAACACTGTCACAGTGGGTGGTTGGAGGGTGCTCCGTCGTGGTTTGCTTCTTCTTTCCTATCAAACATCTATCGTCCTTATCTCCCCTTATTCTTTTTTATGTTTGTTACTCTCTTGTAACAGTTCTAATCTTCTGGCGCTCATATGACCTTATGCAGTTGTGAGCGCCGCAAAACCCTCTACTAAAACTACTAAACACTGTCACAGTTTTGGTTTTAAATGTTTGTATATTTTCATTTTATCTGTTTTTTTCTTTCTTTATTGAAAAGAAAAGTAGATTTCACTTGACCAGACAATTAGGGTGGAAAAAAAAGTTTTGAAAAGCATTCCTTTAGTAAAGCAAAACAAAACCTCGCACTTGTTTGTCCACTTCCCAGGGAGCTGCGTCTTCCGCTGATGACCAACCTGCTGCGGAAGCTGACCGTGGACGTGCCGGCACTGTCGGAGCACGCTGTGGTGCCGCTCAGGGTGAGTGAACTCACGTGCACACTGCACACACACACACACACACACACACACACACACACACACACATATACACACACGCACAC